TTTTTTTCCTGCTTTTTTCTGTAAGTTTTGTAGTTTCGGGTTTTTCATTGAGTCTATGATTCAGTTTTTAGTTAATATTTATTTGTTTATGATGGAAACTATGGACTGGAGGATTTGTTCTGTTTGGTATATGAACATCCAATTGTTCTAGTACCACTTGTTATACATTTGTTGAACACCCTGGGTATATTTCTTTATTTCCTATTCTGCTCCATAGACTTATTTTTCTAATTTTATACCAATACCACATTATCTTAATTCCTACAACTTTAAAAGAAATCTTGARTTCAGGTTGTGTAAATCTTCCAACTTTATTTTTTTTGTTTTCAAGGTGGTTTTCAGCATTTCCCTTTGAATTTTAGTCAGTTTCTCCAAAARTAAAAGCCAGCTCTGACTTCAACTGGGACTGCATTGAATCTATTGATATTTTGGAGAAAACTGACATCTTCATAATATTGAGTTTTCAGATCTATAATCCACTCCATGATGTTTTTATTTAGGACTTCTTTAATTTTTTAGCAGTTTGTTTTATATTTTCAGTATACACATTTTGCAGATATGTTGTCAAATTTATTTCTAAGAATTTCTAATTTTTCATATTATTGAAATAGTTGGATTCTATTCCAAAATGTTTTTAGAATTTCAATTTTCATTTCTTTATGCCACCTTGCTAATTCACTTATTGCTTCTAGATTTTTACATCTTCGTTTCTTCATTTAGGTGCTATTTCTTTTTCCTGTATTTCGCACAGGCTAGAATTACCAGTACAATGTTSAATAGGAGTTGTGAAAGTAATGTAGTGGTTTAGATGTGGTGTCCCCCCAAAGAGACAATGTGAGAGAGTTCAAAGGAGAAATGATCAGGTTGTGAGAGCCTTAACCCAATCGGTTAATTATCCCTGATGGGATTAATTGAGTGGTGACTGGAGGCAGGTGGGGTGTGGCTGGAGGAGGTGGGGCATCTCAGGTGTGCTTTGGGGTATTCATTTTTATCTGGCCAGTGGAGTTTCTCTCTCTGTTTCCTGATAATCATGTGAGATTCTTCCCTCCACCACTCTCTGGCCATGATGTTTATCCTCACATGGAGCCCTGAGGAATGGAGCCTGCTGTCTATGGATTGAGACCTCTGAAACCATGAGTCCTCAAATAAACTTTTCCTCCTCTACAATGGTTCTGGTCAGGTCTTTTCGTTGCAGCGGTAGAAAAACCTCTCTAAAACAATTGGACCTCTTTGCTTTGTCCCTGATCTTGTGGGAAAAGGTGTTTAGTCTTCCAGCATTAAGAATATGTAAGCTGTAGTTTTTGTAGATGCCCCTTTAAGGTGAAGGAAATTTCCTCCTGTTGCTAGTTTGTGGGTCAGCCTCATTCATTTTAGTGCAGAATATTATTCAGAAGCCAAGATCTGAGCATTGTAGTTGCTCACTGCTGTTGGGATGTTGCATCTCTCAGGCCCTCTCAGTGGGCTAAGCTAGGAAATCTTTCATACAATACATATACAAACCATGAGTTTTTTCCTTCCTTACCTCATTTGGGTTCTGAAACCTCAGGTCCCTTTCTCGTGTGAACACCTTCCTTAAGCCTCCTGAACCCTCTCTTTCCGTGCCAGTCCCCACACTGGGCTCCCTCTTATGCATTGCACATGTTGTCCTCCTTGACCTTTGACAACTTGTTCTCTGGAAATACAAAGGCTCTCATTTCTCTTCTCCTTAACACAGACACCAAATTTGCTCTACACTTTGTGATGCCTTTTGGATAGAATTCTTCAGGAAGATAAGGAAARGGAAGGCTAGGACGAATTAAAACTACTTTTTTAAATTTCCAAAACACTCCAGATCTAAGGGGGTTGATCTTAAGGAAGCCCATGAGTTGGGGCAAGGAACATCTTGTTGGCAACTTGAGTCATCTTTAATGCTTTGGCACTGCTTAACCTCATGGGTATCTTAGCATAACCTTTGACAGGCAGGGCTTAGCCCCTACAGTGGGTGAAGTTTAACTCCTTGTCAGCTTAGGGGGAAAGGATTCTAGAGTCAGATTCATATTGAYTTAAAGAAAAATAATATTTCTTAATCACTTTGAGTTCAGGGTTGAAAATTATTATTGGCTCCAATAGAGAAACTGGGCAGAGGGAAGTTTGAAGGTGACCCTGGAAGTAGAGCAGACAATTAAAGAGGGGAGGTAGAGCTGCAGAGAGGTCAGCACCAGAGGCTATGGCTTTGGTGAACATTTACCTGTGMTGATAGTTAAAGCCCAGTAAAATAGATGAGATCCCAAGGCAAAGAGAATAGACAAACAACAGCCCTGGAMATTGGTACTTGTCTTCGTGTGTGCAGTAGAGGGGGAAGGAGGAAAAGGAAATAGCAAAGAAGGCCTAGACCTGATGTGGCAGGTGGTGAGTCAGCAGACTCCACCAGTCAGGGAGCCAGGGGAGAAGGTGAGGTTAATAGCATCCTGGCTTCAGAGAGGGAAAGCAAATCGAGACTGAGGAGCCATTTGATCCAGTGACTTAGAGACTGCTGATGTCCTTAAAAGTGCAATTTCAGTAAAGTTGTGAAAATAGAATTCCACTTCAGACACTTAAGGAGAGAGTGGGGATAAAGATGCCTCTGAATAAGTATAGATCATTCTAAAAATTTGTCTGTGAAAGGCAGGGGAATTGAGCAGTGGTTTGAAGAGGGGAACATGAGGAATAAGCAGCAGGGTTTGCTGTCAGGAGAAACCGAGGATGTATGTTGAATATTAACCATTTTCCCTACCCTCCAATATTACTAGTGTAAAACATTTGTTATAATTCTGAAGCTTCATATTTAGAGAGCGAATTCACTCAATTCACCCACCTAGTATAAAAATAAAGAAATTTGCATTTGAAATGTAAATGGTCTAAGCAATAAGTGTTGTTTTCAAATCCTTTACACAAATGGGAAAAAAATATGATTTTCTTTCAACGTCAGGGATTCTTGGCTCCTTTTCACTTAACAATTGCCAAGCAGGCAGGAGGGAAGCTGAGATTTGGGTGGGAGAGCTGTGGCAAAGGGCTCAATTTGGCCAATGGTATGGGGGCATAGATGTGGGGCCTTTCTAAGGCCAACCTTTGGAAACTTCTCTGCCGTGTTCTCCAATGTTGGAGGAAGCCTGCTTGTTATCTGCTTGGTGCAGCTCACTGTTCTTCTCTCTATATAATGCCATATGCCTTGTGTATAAGACATTTTCAATAAAGTCTTAAGAAGATAATGCAAAGAAAATCCTGGAAAACTGTCTAGGAGGATACCAATGCCCCATCTCAGCCCAATAGCAATTTGAAATTGATTTGGAGAGATCAATCTGACTAGAAGCAGGAAAACAAGGTTAACTGAAGATAGACTATTTTTCTGTTCCTGTATGTGCAGGAGAATGATAGAGGCTCAAAAACTGGAGTGGGCAGAGCTCGATATGGAAGAGAATTGTGATCTACTCTTCCTATAAAAGCTCGCTGCTCATTGTGTGGCCCATGGAACTGGCATCACCAGGGAGGCTGCTAGAAAAGCAGTTTCTCAGGTGCTAACCCACACTCACTGAATGAAAATGTGCATTCCCAAGTGATTTGTCTACACGCTGAAGTTTGGAAAGGATTGTGTCTAAATATTCAGGAGCTGTGAAATGATTGGTGCATTGAGAAGTTCTCTAGAGACCAGACAGCTAAGGCAAAACTGGTCTCTCTGAAAGAAAACATCAGAGAAATATCAAACAGGAATTAGTCAACAAAGATTCGGAAAGAGAATCTGGAAGCTAGAGAAATAGAAGTCTTATCAGACTATTCACTTTGGCAGAATTTGTGGACTAAGAAGAGATCAAGTTTATCTAGGACTGAAAGGCTGGACCAAGAACAATAAAGAATTTTGCCTACAGCTGGGGATGTAGCTCAGTGGTGGAGCACTTGCCTAGCAAGTACAAGGCCCTGGGTCCAATTCCCAGAAGAATTTTGCCTAAGTCTAGGCCTGTAAATACCCTGTATACCTAAGTGAGGACAGTACATACAAGAGGTAAGACTGAAGAAGGAAGAAGTGACCAGAGAATGTGTTTGACTGGAGARCTAAGCCAAGGTCTGGGCACACTGCCGCAGTCTTGGCTGGGCACAGAATCACGAGCCACTCACACCTTGTAGATTCAAACAGCAACTCTTTATTCCCGAACTCACAC